CCCCTCTCTCTTCCCAACTTCCTTTGAACGTAACAGGAAATACCCCATATTAATTGAACGTGATTTGACTAAAATCCGTTCTATTCGTGATATAGCTGAATTTTTAATTTTTCAAAGTTGCGAAATCATAACAGTCTTGTGATAACCTAATATAAATTTAACTATTCTGTATTAATAATTAGAATAAATATAAGAAACATAACACATGTACAAGTTGTAAGTCGTCACTTATATAAGTTAGAGCTTACTGTACATTGATTTCGCGTATTTACGATGCCAAAATCAAAGAGAGGCATATGCATCTTTTTTTTTTCAAATATTGTTCAACAATCAATATTTATTTCTGTTTTCACCTTCGTTCAATATGCTATTCAACCAGTCTGTCGATGAGCGTGCGGGGTAAATGCAGGGTTTCGCGTAGAGTTTGTTTCGGCGACAGTTTTCGCAAGAAGGACTTTGTGATTGAAGACTCCGCGGTGTTCATGGGATCTCTGTTTTCGTCGCATGGCGTTCGAACACTCAAATCGTTCTCTTCTTCGTCAGACGAGCAGAGATCGATTAACATTACCGTACGTGACGGGCACTTTTTGACTGGTTTGGCAGCCTCTGCATTGTCCGTAAGTGATTTTACAGCAGCGAGCGTGATTAAAGTTTCTTTAGCTGATGCACTAATATTGACGTCTTCTTCAATAAACGATTCTGTGTCATCTTCCAGCGGTGCCTTCCGTTTCGAAGATATAGATGCGTTTCGTGCGTGGGTAGCATTTTTTGATTTCGTTTTACAAGCCGGTCCTACTTTTCTCATTAATAAAACTTTCCGCACATAGATGCTTCTCTGAGGAGGTTGATATTTCGAGGGATCCTTTTTCAATTCATCAATTTGCTTCTCGCTCAGTCGGGTGAGAACAACGTAAATAGGTCGGCATGCGGCGTAGAGTAACTGCGACCGTATGCTCAGCACTAAAAAGAGAAAATATATAAGATTATATAAGCTTCCTAAAATCTCCAATGGGATTTAGTGTGTCAACTATTTTTGCTAAAATTTTCTATTTTTATTTTTTATTTATAAAATAAGGTATTTACTGAAATCTTAAAAACTTCCCTGAGAATTTCCAAATTCTCCAAATATTTTTATTCCAAGTTCCAGTAAAATTAGATAATTTTTTAATGCAACTTAAAATAAAATAAATTGGAATGTAAACAACACAAACTATATGCTGTAAATTAGTAGAAGAGACAAGGATTCCATATTTATTCTTTTCTACAATCAAAACATATCAAATAGTATAAGGCTCGTTACAATATGTATCACAGTAAGTTCATTTTCTCCTGTATCTTTTGCTATCACCCTGATTTTTTATAAAAATTATAAGACACAAGAATGAACATATACTTATTGCTAATCGATTGTCAATATTTTTCATTATCAAGAAATATGATCAAAGAAATGTTTTCAAAAAGACTAAATTTCAAAAAATTCCAAAAATTTTTCTGACAACGACCATCAATAAAATTCCATAAAAATTCTTGATTTTTAAGAATAAAAAATATCCTGAAAATTTCAGGTTTTTCAAAGTAATAAACATCCTAATCAAATCGAGCCTGCTTATTCTTTAGCGTGTTTCCTATTTTTTTACCTGTTCTCCTATCACATTGCTCTTCTACTATTTCATTTGCACAAAATAATGCAGAAAGTAGTAAAAAATAAGGAAGAACAAAAAATATTATGTTCTTACTTTAATCTGTTTTCTAATTTTTTTTAATTTGTTAAGAGTCAATATATACATATCTAACAAAAGTTATGTCAGCGTACAATAAAACGTACTTGGTTTGCTTTTCGAGGAATTCGCAAATTTATATTGATGCACATAATCGTCAGTCAGTTTGTCTCGATTCTGTTTGTATGTCACTATCCATCTATCATTGTCTACTTCCGTGTCCAGCCATTTTGGTCTACACGAATCACTCAAAGCCGGCGCAATGACATGCCTCTCTATTCTATCTAATCGTTCCTGCTGCGTTTCCTCAGTCATAGCCTTTGACTTCTTCGTTAGCATTATGCCGGCAGGCGACGAGAACGGGATGGTGGCGAATCTTGTGAAGTTAAGAGAACTCCTAACGCGTCCAGACGTTCGTCTAACGATACTTCCATCGGTAGTATTTGCATTTTTCACATCGGCCGATTTAGTTTCAGTCTTGCTCGATTTTAACTGGAAATACTCCAGAAATTGATCCTGTTGTAGCTCGGGCTCGACCATAGACAAGTCTGGTGTGGATGAGCGCGAGCCACTATGATCTTGTTCACAGCATATCTTTTCATGCTCCTACGCAATTGTGTAAATATTATATTAGTTAAATATCATTTGTGGGGGCATACTGGTTTCACGAAAGTTTTGCGAGAGAACGAATCACAATGTCTAAAATATTAATATTAATACCTTCATATTTGCAAGGCCCATAAATTCAGCATCGCAATTGTCACAGAGGTAAATATCATCGCATGGTGGTTGAACCATCATGGGGGCGTGTTGCTTCGCTTTGTTTCCACTGCCCGATGAAGACGCGTTGTGAGACAACAACGTTCTTCGAGGGCTGTCATTTTTTCTGTCATAATGCTGTAGGCGCAGAAAGCTTTCTCATTCATTAAATTAAGAGGGGAACGAGGTATAATAAGCTACTTGGGGTATATTTGTTAAAATGATTCTATATATCAATACACCTGTAGACATATATATACATAAACGTGTTTTATATATACACACCATGTTTTCATTACGAAATGTTACTAGTAGCTTCCCTGTACTTTTGTGATACAGACTAGTCGTCGAGTCCCAATTATTAACATACTCTAATTCATCGTGTGGATACTGCGCTAGGTAGGAACAAAACCGTAACAGATATTCACTTCTGTGATACGTGTAACAGCGGAAAACCAATTTCTTCAAGTTCGCCATCCAGTTCTGAAATGATGTTCTTGAATCAGCACTTTTCGAAAGGTAGACCTTGATTATAGTGAGTTACATAATGCTACACACATATATATATATATATATATATATATATTATCATTTAATAGTTTACTTACATCGTTGATCTTCTTGGGTCTTGTTAGTGGACTTGAAAACTTAATATCTTGAGGCCACCATTCTGGCTTATTAATGATCTTAGTGGTATCATGACCCAATGAACAATGAACCATAAACAATATAAAACGTTCTAGTTGAGCCTACGAAGTAAACAATATATTAGATTTGCAGCTAGAATATAACTTACATAATATAAGATTTGTTCGTTATAGCTGAAGTATATACTCATAGTACTCAATATAAAATAGATGTATATTTGAAGCTTGGCAAAAGTGAGAAGGAAAATTTTAGTACAGTTCAATGCACTGATAAAGAACAGGCCTACAGTGCAATAATATATTAGGTGCTTGCAAAAGTTTATAAGGTCATAAAAAGATGATAGTGACAGCGACTTAGTAATTGTTTTTCTTTAAGTTCTTTTTAAATTTGACCATATTCGATCAGAATTGATGGTCGACAATTCATAGTTCCAAATAAAACGTCACGTGATTGACGTTTAATGTGATTGAAGGTGAAACCAGATAAGGTTCATCTTCATCACTATATGCTTTATTACTTTGATCAAGATAAAACTGTTGCGATTAAAAGATTGCGAAATTGTGAGACTTATGGAGAGAATGCCCGCTGCTGTCTGTGAAAAGTGATTTAAAAGATTTAGAATTGTGATTGCAATGTCAACAATAAACCATGTTCTGGTCCAAAACAAAATGGAGGGCAACAAGTAGGAAGCATTGAAAACTCAGCACAAACATTAAAAGAACTTGCAGGGCAGCTTGGAGTTGATGAATCAACAGTAATGCCAAATAAAAATAGTTTTAATATCATAACATTTTTGCAAGCACCTGACAATTTTGTTTCAGGTATGATTTTTCAAATTACATGATATCATGTAAAGGCAATCATCTTAAGATAAAAAAAATACAAGTATAATTGATGTACCATAGTAATTTTCTCCAGAGACGTAGGATAACCATTAGCAAACAAAAGAGGCAGATTGGACACCATAGAGCCCTCCTCCCTCTCTAAGTTATCTGTCCTATTATCTTCTTCATACTTATCATTGGTAGCATCGTCCATCATGATTGCATCGTTAGAAACTCGGTTTCCAGACTTCCTTACCTCATTTCTACCGTTCTCTTGCATAGTCGAGAGCTTCATACTTCGTTCATATCTCAAATCATCGATTTTGTTCCCCATTTAAAACACATCCACAGCATCAAAGGCCCTGGAATTTTGATACAGGTTTAATTTAACCTTCACTCTTTCCATTGAATTATTATTATTATTATTATTATTGTTATTATTATCTCATCACATTAAGCAAAGTATTTTATATGCGAATATTTTTAACTACAAGAACGATTGTAGCGATGAAGTGCTAAACTATTTTATCAATTGTTCCGCAAATAAGCAATTTGCTTCTGACTTTCGAGAGCAACGCTGCCTCTCGCAGGAATCGTCTTCGACGAGTCTCGACAAGTGACATTTTTGCCATGTAAGTAATCCGCGTCGCCAATGCGAGAAGCGTTCTTTGTTAGCTCAAACTAGTCTTATCTGTTGTCGCGGCAGAAGACAACAAATACCAGCACAAAAAAAACGTAAAAATATTCGTACATGTAGAACCGTAGAGCCTGAAATCAGTTGCCGTGCGCATCGATATATCTTTCTCCTCGCGACGGCTCCGCTATCAGTGAACTTGCACGGGGCTCAAAGCTCGCACGCGGAGCATCGTCCAGGAAGTTTCCGGGCACCTCCGGGCTCACTTTTCACACGATGGCATAGCTATAGCTAGGGAGTCACTTGTGTTTATCTCTCTTCACTCCGGGATTGTTCTGCGCTTCTTACTTGAGAGATCTCTCTCGCGCGTTCCACAGGCGGAGAATTTCAGAATTTAGAATCGGCGACCTCGACCGTGACAGGTGGAGGCTCTACAACGCGACGCGATTTCGCGCGACAATTGTCACGTTCGTCGGATCACGCGCAAACGCGACCATTTTTGGGAACGTGAACTCTTCTCGATGTCGTCCCTTCGAACCGACACCCTTCTTCTTCTTCTTCTTCTTCTTCTTCTTCTTCTTCTTCTTCTTCTTTTCGCTCTTTTCGGCCCAGGTTAAAAAGTTTCTACGTGGCGTCTCGCAATCGTCGACTGACCTAACCGAGAACGGCGCGGAGGTCAACCTCACCGCGACCGGGGATACGCTGGAACACTCGCCCCGCTCGCCCGTAGCTCGAGGACGCGACGCCCGCACCCCGTCGAGAGGTGGTCGTTCGTGCCGATAAACCGCGCGGGATTGACCAGTATTAACCTCCGGGATGACCGTACGGTATGTACGAGTCTCACTAGTCCCCGCGACGTTTTCCAGTCAATCACCGCGAAGTCGTCGCGCGCAAGGTAAGAGACCGCGCGAACGCAGCCGCGATAGGGCGACGACGGAACAGGGTTCCGCCGACGATTGACAGCACGGTCCCCTCCACCGCCGCGGTAATATATGTGCGCCCGAGTTGTGACCGAGTCCCGACCTAACAACACACGGCAAACTTAAACTTAAGATGGCGAACATATGAGACACATCACGCTATGCTACGCGCGCGTCGCTCACCACACAGGCGCACACATCACACCACGCCAAACAGAGCTTACGTGGTCGCTTCAGCGAGGCGGATCGGGCGGACGCGGGTCGCGGATGTTCGCCGACGTTTACCACCGACGAATAAACGCGATCTGATTCAGCGACGACTGCCGATCTTCAACACGAGACCCAATGAGACCCCTGAAACGTTCGCAGCAGCGAGAAACGCGGAAGGAAGAACAAAAGTATTTTCACGTATTCGCCGGCGCGCCTGCGTCCTGCTTGGAAAATTGTGTATATATATAGAAGAATGAAGTAAACCCCTTGATACACACATTCACCCGTGCGCGACGCGCGCACATGCGCAGTGCGAAAATTTTTCTTCTCCATTTGTTTAAGGAGGTTCCAGCATTTGATGAAATATAAGACAAACGTAATACATACATGATACGGAAGTTAATTATATTCATAATATCCAGAAAAAATTTCATTGATTTTTACCATACCGTTTTGAAGATATTTAATTCTAAATGTATTTTACATAACAGATATACACCTAACCTTAATTTGAGATATTTTTAGATATTTTATCTTAATTTGAAATATTTGCATATAAGACAGAAATTTAAAAATTGTTATACTTACAAAGTAAACATTTAATTTCGTTTTGGTAAAATTTCATCTGAATTGACCGTAGTTTGAGAGAAATTTATATTTTTTGATGACAAAAAACAAGAATATTTGTCAAATAGACAAGATACGTATAGTGACGTGGCAACGTTGTATGTACGATTGAGGTTAGAGCCAACTATAAAACAATATATATTTGATACAATAAGTAAAAATATAATAAGTACATAAAGTAAAGATACAAATAAGTAAAAATACGATAAATTTATGATAAAAAATGTTAATTTATACATTTTTAATTTAGATTATATTTTATCTTTTTTTTTAAGATTTAATAGTAAATAAATATCAATCATATTTCATTTTCTGCAGTTGGTACTTAAGTCAAATGAGAGTCTTATAACTTTTATTTTGTCATTTTTTAAATATTTACTGATAAATAAAATTAATAATGATTATGCATGACATTAGCGAAATAGATATTGTTGATAATTGTTTTAATATTATTATTTTAATCGTTATACACAATTTTAAGAATAAACTGTTTATTGACTAAAGAGTAGCGCTTGAATCTCCTTATTAAGGCGATGCTGGAAGGTCGGAATTACCGACACATTGCAGTTCAGTAGATTTCTTCGAATTGGTTGAACGGAATTGAAAATCCTTTCACAGAATTGAAATAGACGTAAAATTGTGGCGTTAGACAAATGAATTTGTAGTAAAATCGAGAAAAAAATTAAAAAATTACATTTTTTTCGGGTCATACAGCTGATTCCTAATTGTAACCTGACATAAACATTTCATTAGTGTAAAAGTTCTGTAGCTCATATGTGCAAAAAGCTTACGTCTAACATTATATATAGATTACATAAACGAATAATATTGTACAAAGCTTTTTGAGCTACGATTGAAAGCGTAGAAAAAAAGATATCCAATAAACTGCAATTTGTGGTAATTCGTACACATAGCCAAAATACGGAATGGTAAAAACAGCAACAATTGCGTTTAGTAGTAAGTGCCGAAATATTAGGTTGTCCGTAACCCCCTCCCCTCACTCAATTGATCGATTTTCTTACACTTACGTCTTACGACCTTACAGGATTTTATGTGTGATGGTTTCTAAGCTGGTTCTACATTAGTTATATCGCATCGTCGCGAACGTTGCGATCCAGTTGTGATCCAATCAACGTTAAGTTAGCTCGACGCTGATTGGATAACAATTAAATCGCAACGTTCGCGACGCTGCGATGCAACTAATGTAAGCCAGCTTTAGCTAAGCGTACGAATGACCATAAATTGCAATCGTAAGGATTTCTTTTTTCCTACGCTTTCAATCGTAGCTCAAAAGGCTTTGTATTATTTGTTCATGTAATTCTATTTAGGGGACGTAAGCATTTTGTACATACATACTTATGAGCTACAGAACTTTTACACTAATGAAATGTTTACGTCAGGTGAAAACAGTTTTTAATTTTTTTTTTACTACAAATTCCTTAATCCCGTAAATAAATTTTATGTATATTTTAATCGGGTGGCACTCGATTGACTACGTTACACAAGCCAATCACAGCGCTTGGAACTAGAAAGTCTCTAGGCATCGGTCGCTGTGAGTGGCTGTGTCCAATTGTAACGTGTCCAATCGGCATCCTCCCATTTTAATCCTATGAAAGGGTTTTCAATTCCAGTCTGTCATTTTGGAGAAATCTTTACGACTGAAATGTGTCGGTAATTTCGATCTTTCAGCATCCTCTTAAGTGCTTGAAAATTTGTTACGATGTGTGCGTGCGGTATTGATAGTAAACTATGAACATATCACCATAGACTTATAAGATAGACTAGGCACTTCCTTTGGAGTCGTGGCACAGTATAACCAGTAGGTCCACTCAGCGAAAAACTGAGTCTTCGCGCAGGTATCGCCGCGCAACTTTTGTTTTGGGTTGGATCCAATGAAATGCAAGACGATAGGAACGTACATACATATGTGCAGACAATTTATAAGCAATTACATCAGAAATTT